TATTTTTTAAAATTTATTATACTTGTATACTACCTAAAGTACTAAAGCCAAAAAAAATATACTCTTGTTTCCTGTCCCCTGCCCAAAAAAATTAGGGTAGGTAGGTAGGGAAAAAAATTTTTTTTAAGAAAAAATTTTATTTTCAAAACTCAATGAATGCAGAACATACAGCATGTAATAACAAGAACATGATATGTTAACAGTTTACAGAGCAAGTTTGTAAATAAAGATTTAAAAGTAATGGTATCCTGTACACTTGTGATGTATTAGTTCTGTAGATATTGTTGGTCGACTTTTAGTATTTTAGGAAAATAGTAACCGAAAAAAGAAAATGTAATAAAAACTTTTAGGGTCGGAGGGTAAAATGTAGGGTAGGTCGGGTGACAGGAAACAAGAATAATTTTAATTTTGGCCTAATGTCGAAAAGTTAGTACATGTAATTTCAAAAAATATAAGATGGTAGCGAGAATTTATCTATGTTTCTCTTTTTCTTAAAAATTCAAACCAAACTGATGTCAACTTCATATTTTTCTGTGTATTTGCTAGTGATGGGGAATCGGAAAAAAATCATAATCGATTATCGGTAATAATCGGCTGGGCATAATCGATTAATAATCGATTATAATCGAAATTTTGAACTTCAATAAAATTAATATAGAAAAGTTAAAACTTATTCAGATTTCTGTCAGACTTTTACATAAAAAAAAATTACTTACATAAAATATTCAAAAACTTTAATTGAAATTTTTTTTTTAAAAAGTAGAAAATAGTATTTTGTCTACTTTAAACAATATAGGACTATTGAAACAGAATGGGAATTTATTTTTTTTTATAAAGTCCATGCAATGGGTATATTTTACTGATATTAGTCCCACCTTTCATTTAATACATGTACGTATTTATTTCTTAAAATTAGTTTTGATTAGTTAAAATTGCAAGTTGTAAAAGTAATTATCCTCATGTTAGACTTGTAATGAAGTTGTATTTATGATTATAATTACGTTTAAAAATTGACTAGACTAATTATGTTTTCCTTTACTTGCAATATTACCGTTTCCTGGTATTAGTCTAACCCCATATTTAATAATGGCGGTAAAAGTATCAACAAGACACGGGACCCTTTCATGTTTTCAACATTCATCACTACTTTCATGCTCTTTGCACTTGGATTTGGTAATAAAATTAAAGTTTGACAATTTTATTTTTTGTTAGCGATGTCGGCGACATTTATTTTATAATCGATTAGTAGCATCGAAGAGCTTCTAACGACCGACAATCGATTGTCTCCGACAATCGTTCCATCACTAGTATTTGCCTGTACTTGAATTTGTCTACATTAACATTATAGTGTTTATTTATTTCAGAGGGGGGGGGGGTATTGCAAGTGAGCATTGGCTCACAGATTTTTTGTTATTTCAGAATATACCTCTCACAGTTTTTCAAATGTTATTTTACTTTCTCTGTGTGGTGTTACACTTTAGTATGTGTTTAATGCATCTCATATCTTCAACTTATATTAAAATTGCTAATTATGACAAAATACAAAATATTCTCTTCCTTTGCAGACTTCCCTTGCATTGGGATCAAAATTTTTTTTAAAAAAATCTGATTTCTCGGACAAATTCAGAAATACCAAAGCTGTTTAAATGATGAATATAAGATGTCACATACAGTCATTTAATAGTCTAAGGTTACAAAGACATGTTAGTTAATGTGGATTACAAACATTTGCAAATAGTTATGAACATTATAATGAAGTATATCAATATAAGAAGATTGTACAGGTAATTTCCTTCACTCAAAATATTAAATATTTTTTATGATGTTATAGTTTTACTCTCCTTAAAGATTGAATTTTGAATTTTACCCAAGATCATTCAAGTTGAGCAAGTTTAAGGACAATAAAAGAAAATTTAATTATAATTGTCTAGTTCATATCTTTATTATGGATCATAAACTCGGTGAGTTCATATTTTACTCAAAAGATTGCTTATGACCTAAGGGTATGTCATGACCTTACCAGAGGTCATGTGGGCAAGGTCACTGAAATAAAACATTCATCTGGGTCAAGTCCATGTCTTATGGATAAGTTTGGCGAGTTCCATTTTATTTTACACAATGATTGCTTATGGCCTAAGGGTTTGTCATGAACTTGACCCAAGGTCATATGGGCAAGTTAAAGGTGGTTGAAAGAATAAGTACAAAATTTGTGTTCAACGCATATGTTTAGTATTGATTTTAATTTTTTTTATTAGGTTCACCTTCATTATACCCCCCGCAAACGAAGTTTTGGGGGTATAGAGGGATCACCTTGTCCGTCTGTCTGTGCAAACGTGTCTGGTCCATATCTTTCTTACAGAGGGACATTAGAATCTACTACTCCACATAATAATTGCCTATGACCTAAGGGTATGTCATGACCTTATTTAACCCAAGGTCATTTGGGGGAAGTTCAAGGTCACTAGAAGAAAAATTTCATAATTCGCAGGGATTTATCTAGGTTGTTTTTACTACCGGTAAAAGGTACCTTTCCCCTCATGAAAAAGATGCAAAATTTCCCCTTTTTCAGATAGAAAATTCTCCGATTAAACGGAGAATATTTAAAACATCGTTTTGAAATTTTCCGTTTTTGTCCGATTGAAGTTTAACAGCATATCCTAATTTATCATCCTAGTCATTCAAACGCTTCTATAAGACAGAATAGATTATTCAAGCTTTTATTTGATATTGATCGGTAAACATGTGCCAAGTCCATGATGTCGAAAGATACGTATGCGACTGCAGAGTTAAAAAGAAAAGTGTAGATCATGTAGATGAGTAAGATGGAGCTTATATCACTATGAATCGGAAGAATGGAGTAACAACAAAAACAATGTTAGTAGTGAAATATGAAAAACAGAATTGATGTGTGATAGATATTCAGAGAAAATATTAAATAAAGCACTGACCTGGTTTAAATTTTTTTTGTTATTAATATTTTGTCTATAAAGTGAAGTTTTTGTGGCCTTTGTAAAGGCCCCCCCTAGAAAACTCACGCCTGTGGCTCTCATTTTTCCCCTTTACATATAAACCAGTAGTAAAACAAAATAGCTAGATAAATCCCTGATTCGTGTCCGGTCCACATCTTTCTTATGGCTAAACTTGGTAGGTTCTCATTTTACACAAAGATTGCCAATGACCCAAGGGTGTGTCATGACCTTGACCCAAGGTCATTTTGGGAAGTTCAAGGTCACTAGAAGAAAAATTTCATAATTCGTGTCCGGTCCACATTTTTTTTATAACTTGGTAGCTTCTCATTTCATGCAAAGATTGCCAATGACCCAAGGGTTTGTCATGACCTTGACTCAAGGTCATTTGGGGAAATCAAGGTCACTAGAAGAAAAATTTCATAATTTGTGTCTGGTCCACATCTTTCTTATGGATAAACTTGGCAGGTTCTAATTTCACACAAAGATTGACCCAAGGGTGTCATGACCTTGACCCTAAGTCATTCGGGGAACTTCAGGGTCACTGGAAGAAAAATTTCATATTCATGTTTGATGCATACCTTTATTATGAAAAAATTAACTTCTGAAAAACCCATTGGGGGTTATTTGTTCCGTTTGGATAGTTCTAGTTTGAATCTGATTTCAACTTCCTAATTATCTGATCATGCCATGCTGTTCCGTTTGGATAGTTCTAGTTTGAATCTGATTTCAACTTCCTAATTATCTGATCATGCCATGCACAGCAAATTTTTGTCACAGGTTTCTCAGCACTACTCATCACAATGCTTGAAATTTTAGCAGGCTCTTTGTTGAGGCTTACCATATGGTGGGATTCATTTTTGTATAAATCCAATGTCAATTTCTTGTTTATTTGACAATGTTTGTACATGTATATTTTTTTTCACATGTCATTGTGCATTACTTGTGACAAGGCTTTTGTGGTATGCGATTAAGAAATATGATAATCTTTTTTGTGGATTTTGATTTTCAGTTATGATGCACTTTCAAGAAGCAGTAACTTTTATCAAATCCAAGTGTATTTCTTATAAGTTCAAAACGGTACAGCTTTTTTTATCTTGAAAATTCGAAGCAAAACAAAAATCTGTCAAATTTTATGAAATATCACAATAGTTTAGTACATGGTTGTAATTTGGATGATTACACCAAAATTGTTTGCCAGTAAATGTTGGATACATTTATATGGTACATATAGTTTCTTGAAATGTGTAACGCATCTTAAAGGTAAGCTTTCTTCGAAAATGGTTTACCAATTACATGTAACTTGCATCCCTCTTTAAATGATTGTATATTGCTTAATGTCCCTCTCGAGAATTTTTCACTCATATGAAGACGCCACCACTTGCTGGTGGAGAGCTGCAAATTTTGTCTTGTACTCGACACTCGGGGCCATTGAGTAGGGAGAGGTCTTTTTCGTGCCAGCACCTACTGCGACACTTGACCTCGGTTTATACAGTCTCATCCATAGGACACTCTTTCAATTAATGTTGGCATAATTATGTTTTGCATGTAATTTTGAAAGTGTCAGTGATGGCAGTATTTTTAATTTGAATATGTGTATGTATAAGTATAGGCTACTCTAATCAATCTTTTCTATAGCTGCAAAACTGGAGCTCTCCGAATAAAAATATATTGACAGAACGGAGAGCTACAGTGCAACCATTGTAAAAACTGTATATTTATTGTACACAAAAAGTTGCGCTTAATAGTTCTGGATTAATTCTTCCAAATTCTTACCTCGGTCATAAAAAGGGAGATTTAAAAAAAAAAAATTTTTGCTCTTCCGTCAAGTACTCTCGTAGCTAACATCGGCACAAAGCGCGTTGGACCAATTTATCTTTTTAACTTTTTTGTGCGCAATAAATATACAGTTTTTTCACTGGGTGGCCCTGTAGCTCTCCAGTCTGTCAATATATTTTTTCGGAGAGATACAGTTCTGCAGCTATCTTTTATAGTATAGATTATAACATTCTTGTATTTTTTGTAGATCACAGAATGCCAAGGAAGAAGACTTGGAGGAAAGCTGCTGTGAAGAAGACGAAATCTTGTAAGGCAGATGTGGGTGACAAGTACCCCACAGATGTTGGCCACGTCCAACCATCTGTGCCTCTGGGTGTAGGCCACGTCCTAACACCTATGACATCTGTACCGGCAGGGGTGATCTCTACCACCCCTGTGACAGTGGTCTCTGCGGCTCTCCCTGAGACCACTTTGAATCAGATTATTACTCAGAATTCATCTCAGTTGCTTACTCAGAATTCATCTCAGTTGCTTACTCAGAATATCTCTCAGATTACAACTCAGAATATTACTCAATTTACAATGAACAATATTCCAAATGAAACAACACATGCACTGCAAGGAAATTGTATGCATCAGAATTCAGATAATCTGGTGTTGGGGTCTTTCCATCAGGGAAGCATGAGGTTTTCATCATTTTCAAGAGGTAATCAGTGTACATGTAATTCACTTATGATGTTGTCAAATTCATATGAAAATTTTTCATTCACTAGTTCCTTTTTAGATCAGACTCTGATCAAGGGAGATAATTTGTACAACACAGTTGTGAAGAATCTTCAGAGTGCTGGAAAACTGAAAAGTAGATTACTGATGTTCGATGAACTACCAAGTCATATTGATTCTGGTGAAAATTACCACATGGTTGATAAGTTTGAAACATTGTTTGGCTTATTAGTTACAGATGATAAGAGAAATCAAATTCAAACTCTACATGAATGTCTGCAACAAGCATTGGGTTTATCTAGGTATGTATTAATAATGATAGGCTCGATATGTTCAGCACTGTACAAAGCTTCAGACAATGATTTTTATTTTTTTGACTCTCATTCTCATGGGGAATATGGATTGTCTGATTGTGATGGAAAGTCTCTGATAAGACACAGTTGCTGCTTAGATGATTTGTTAGGGTTTCTGTATGCAATGTATGAAAGTATGCACATTGAATTTGCAACTGAATTTGAAGTGATGCCTGTTGCTTTTCGTACACTTATTCATAGCTTCCCAAGCAATAATCAAAGTGTACATCAATATTGTAGTTTAGATCAGTCAACAACATCTGCTTTCACAAGCAAACAATCTGTTTGTAGTAATACTGGTCACTTAAAAACAGCAGAGATAAAGAAAGATAAAAAAGAGTATATGAGAGAATATATGAGGAACAAGAGACAAGATCCAGAGTTTAAAGACAAGGAAAGGGACATTAAGAGAAACAAAAGACAAGATTCAGAGTATAGAGGAAAAGAAAGAGACAGTAAGAAAAACAGGAGAGATGATCCAGAGTTTAAAGAAAAAGAAAGGGACAGGAAGAGAAACAAGAGACAAGACCCAGAGTTCAAAGACAAAGAAAGAGACAGTATGAGAAACAAGAGACAAGATCCAGAGTTTAAAGACAAAGAAAGGGACAGCAAGAGAAACAAGAGACAAGATCCAGAGTTTAAAGGAAAAGAAAGGGACAGCAAGAGAAACAAGAGACAAGATCCAGAGTTTAAAGACAAAGAAAGAGACAGTATGAGAAACAAGCGTCAAGATTCAGAGTACAAAGGAAAAGAAAGGGACAGCAAGAGAAACAAGAGACAAGATCCAGAGTTTAAAGACAAAGAAAGAGACAGTATGAGAAATAAGAGACAAGATCCAGAGTTTAAAGGAAAAGAAAGGGACAGCAAGAGAAACAAGAGACAAGATCCAGAGTTTAAAGACAAAGAAAGAGACAGTATGAGAAATAAGAGACAAGATTCAGAGTACAAAGGAAAAGAAAGGGACAGCAAGAGAAACAAGAGACAAGATCCAGAGTTTAAAGACAAAGAAAGAGACAGTATGAGAAACAAGCGTCAAGATTCAGAGTACAAAGGAAAAGAAAGGGACAGCAAGAGAAACAAGAGACAAGATCCAGAGTTTAAAGACAAAGAAAGAGACAGTATGAGAAATAAGAGACAAGATACGGAGTACAAAGAAAAAGAAAGAGACAGTATGAGAAACAAGCGACAAGATACTGAGTACAAAGGAAAAGAAAGGGACAGCAAAAGAAACAAGAGACAAGATCCAGAGTTTAAAGACAAGGAAAGAGACACTATGAGATACAAGAGACAGGATGCAGAGTTTAAAGAAAAGGAAAGGAAATGTAAGAGAATTAAAAGGCAAGAAGAAGAATACAGGCATGATGAACAAATAAGAGATTTAATCAAGAAAAAGGAAATGAGACAAAATCCTAACCAGTTAGAAAAAGAGAGATTGAAGATGAAAGGAAAAAGAAAAAATGAAGAATATAGAACATCAGAAAATATTGCTGCAAAACAGTCAAAAGCACACTCACGGGAGAATTTGGACTGTATTGAAACTGAAAAACAAAGATACAGAAAAAGTAAATTTGGAGTTGATGCAGTTGAGTGTGTTGACAATTTTCACAACAATGTAAGATTGGGTCCTGTGTTTGTATGCACATCTTGCCAACAGACATGGTTTCATGAAAGCGTTTCAAATGTCAATAATGTTTTGTTGGATGCTGAAATCAAAAGAAAGTATCTTACTAATACAAAGTCTGTAAATGGGCAAGAATGGATATGCAACACCTGCAATTCAAGCTTGAAAGAAAGCCGAACTCCAAAACTCTCTTCTGCAAATGGAATGACATGGGTACAAAAACCAAGTGAACTAAATTTGTTACCATTGGAAGAAAGACTTGTATCCTTAAGAATTCCTTTCATGCAGATAAGAGAATTACCAAGAGGAGGGCAGTATTCTGTAAAAGGAAATGTTGTAAATGTGCCAGTTGACATACAACCAACAATCAATAGTCTTCCTAGGAGACTTGATGAAAATATCACAATACCTGTGAAGTTAAAAAGAAAACTATCTTTTCAGCACTCTTATTGTCATGAAAATATCCGACCTACAAAAGTTCTGATTGCTTTACATTGGTTAATGAAAAACAGTGAGTATTATCAGAATTCAAACATAAACATAGATGAAAACTGGTTCAATGAAGTAACTAATTCAGCAACTGAAGTAATGAGAGAGTTTATAGAGGGCCACACCAATCAAGATTCAGCAATGCATGATGAACCAGATGAATCAGACTTGGACGAATTCTGTGAAGTTGATGGTAGTGGTAAGGATGGAAATTGTGATACACTACTAGACAGTGACTCATATGATATGAATCAGATCTTCACATTTGCTCCAGGAGAGGGACAACGTCCACTTAGTTTGTATCAAGATCAAATGGCTGAATATTTGTCATTTCCAACAATATTTTGTGGTAAAGGAAGAGTAGAAAACAGTCAACGTCAAGTACCCGTTTCATATGCTGATATTGCCAAGTGGGAATTAAGAAGTGTTGATAGACGTGCTGCACAGTCGGTACCGAACTTGTTTTTCAAATTGAAAAAAATTCAACTAAAGCAGGTAACAGACAAATGCAATTTAGCTCTTAGAAAATGCAAAACAAAGGGGAAAACCTTTACTGCAAATGAAATAAGAAATCCTGATCAAGTAAACAACATTGTTAGACACAATGAGGGATTTTATGTATTTAAACAGTTGAGAAATTCTCCTCCCTATCTTGAAACAAGGAAGAAAGATGTTTTTGCAATGATACGACAGCTTGGTTTACCAACTTGGTTTATGTCCTTTTCTGCTGCAGATACACGATGGAATGATCTCATAAGGGCACTAGGAGTCTTAAATGATGACAGAGAGTACACAGATTCAGAAATTGAAAGCATGACATGGACTGAAAAATCAAAGTTAGTTCAAAAAGATCCAATTACATGTACAAGGTATTTTGATCATCGTTTTAGAACTTTTTTGAATACTGTGATTAAGAGTGATCATCATCCTATTGGCAAGGTACAGGACTTCTTCTATAGGGTTGAATTTCAACAAAGGGGATCACCACATGTTCACATGATTGTTTGGATTGAAAATGCTCCAAAATACTTGGAAAATGATAACAAGGAAATTGTTGCATATGTTGATAGCTACATAAAATGTGAAAGAAATGCAGAAGACACTATGCTTGAATTACAGGTGCATAAACACTCTCAAACATGCAAAAAAAGAGGAAAGGCTGTTTGTAGATTTGGATTTCCACTTCCACCACTCCAAACTACAATGATATTAGAACCTTTGGACAGTGAAGTTGAGAAATACAAGAAGATGCATAAAGCTATGCAGGACAAAATGAATGAATTTAAAAATGGATGTGATGTAAGCTTCAGTTTTCAAAACTTCTTGCAGGATGTACTAAAGCTATCTGAAGATGATTATATAAAATGCATCAGAAGTTCCTTGAGAGGACCCAAAGTATTTCTGAAGCGTAAACCCTGCGATCTTAGAGTGAATGCTTACAACAGTACCCTTCTTCATGCTTGGGCAGCTAATATTGACATTCAGTATATCTTGGATCCATATGCTTGTGCAATGTACATTGTCTCATACATAAGTAAATCCCAAAGGGGTATGAGTGATCTTCTGAGTAGAGCTGCAAAAGAAGCAAGAGAGGGCAATCTTGACATTAAGAGACAAGTTAGACACATTGGAAATCAATTTCTCAACAGTGTTGAAGTTGGAGCACAAGAAGCAGCATATCTGGTTTTGCAAATGCCACTTACAAAAGCATCAAGAGATGTAATGTTTATAAACACTTCTCCAATTGATGAGCGTGTAATACTTGTCAAACCTGATGCAGAACTTGAAAAGTTGAATGCGAATTCCACAGATATAGAATGCAGTAACATAGTCAAAAGATATGCAAAACGTCCAAAACAACTTGAAAACTGGTGTTTAGCTGACTATGTGTCACAGTTAAATGTAGTTTTTCCAAAAGAAAGTGTAACTGAAATGGAAACAAATGATGATGAGAGGCATCAATCAGAAAATGAAGAAAGTGGTTCTGATAGTGAGGATGAATTTAAAGATGACAGCACATTAGTTGTGTTGAGAAATGGAATCAAAATCAAGCGCAGAAAAACACCAAGAGTTGTAAGATATGTGCGCTATAGTTTAAAGACAGACCCAGAAAATTACTACAGAGAAAAGTTAATGCTGTTCACTCCATGGCGAAATGAATGTTCTGATCTTCTGTGTGGACAACAGAGCTTTGAGCAGTCATTTAACCAGAAAAAATTTTTCTTAGCTCACAAAATCAAACAGTATGAACACAATGCTGATGCGCTTGAGCAGGCAGAACAGATGGCGCAAGATGATTTGACAGAAGCATATGATGAATTAGCTCCTGGTGCTCAACAAACTGAGGCAGAAGATGAATTTGAAGGACATGTTGAGTCTGAAAAATTTGTTCACTTTAATCCTGAAAGGCCAATTGAACAGAGAGAGTATGATATGGGAAATGATGTTGGAATTCCATCAACAGGACAACTGAATGAGCAGAGTTCTGTAAGATTACCTGATGATGAGTATTTAAAGCTTGTGGCCAGTCTGAATTTGAAGCAACGTGAATTCTTTAATCATGTTATACAGTGGATCAAATGTAAAGAGGAACCTATTCATGCATATCTGTCAGGAGGTGCAGGTGTTGGGAAGTCAGTGTTAATCAGAGCACTTTATCAAGCTTTACATCGGTATTTATGTGCTAAAGAGGGTGAAAATCCAGACGATATACGAATTCTTCTTTGTGCATACACTGGTAAAGCTGCATTTAACATTGGTGGTCAAACAATTGCTTCTGCATTTCACCAGAAAATTAACCAAAGGCAGCAAAACATGCATTGTGATGAACTGAACACATTTAGAACTAAATATAGGAATTTGTCAGTTGTCATCATAGATGAAATTTCAATGGTTGGCAGTGCAAAGTTGGAATTTATCAATGATAGACTTCAGCTTCTTACTGGTTTGAAGAGGCCATTTGGAGGCATTAGCATTATTGCTGTTGGAGATTTCTTTCAACTTAAACCAATCATGGATGGATGGATTTTTGAAGATTTAAAACAAAATGCCCAAGCACTTGCATGTAATCTTTGGAAAGAAAATTTCACCTTATTTGAGTTAGATGAAGTAATGCGACAAAAAGACGACTTAGCATTTGCACAGCTTTTGAACCGTCTTCGTCACAATGAGATGACTTCTGAGGACTTAGATATAATTCACAAGTGCATCATTGCTGAAAATAGTCTGAATTATCCACATAATGCTCCCCATCTTTTCACAATGAATGCAAAAGTAGATGAATATAACAATAAGCTTATAGAGCAACTTCCTGGTGAAAAAGTCATTGTAAAAGCTGTTGACAGTGTCCTCCAAGACCACAGTAAGTCTGTGAAAGACCGACTACTCAGATCAGTGCAAAATCAAGATGACGTAAGCAAAACTGCAAACCTCATGACAAAACTAACTCTAGCCATTGGAATGATATATGACATTACAGTTAATATTGATGTTACTGATGGTTTGACAAATGGTTCATCATGCACTGTACTTCTTGTTGAAAACAGATTACCTGGTGTATCAAGGCCAAGTATAGTGTGGGTGAAGTTTTTGGATTCTGCAGTGGGGAGAATTACTCGACAAAAATACAGACACCTTTTCCATGATGATGTTGAAGATGATTGGACACCAATATTTGACTGTCAGCGATCTTTTGTTTTCAATTCAACTACATATCAAAGAATACAGTTTCCTTTAAGACCAGCTGCTGGTAAGACAATCCATAAGGCCCAGGGCTGCACTGTTGATGAAATTGTAGTAGATTTGTCTCAGACAAGGACGAGGAAAACACCACACATTCATTATGTGGCCCTTAGTAGAGTTAGGTCTGTTGACAAGTTGCATATTCTAAATTTCAATGAGCAAGCATTAACTGTAGATGAAAAAGTTGTACAAGAAATGGAAAGAATGAGGGAGAAAGCACTTCTAAACCTGTGTTATCTTCCATTGTACAAAGCAGAGCAGAACAAACTAAAACTTATGTTTAATAATGCAAGGTCACTTCACAAACATTTCAATGAAATTAAAAATGAACCAAATGTTGTAGCATCTGATGTTATTGGTTTTTCAGAAACAAGATTAACCGTCAACGATGAACAGAATTTCGTGATAGAAGGTTACTTGACTTTGTTTAATCATGAAGAGAGAAGTGACAGAAATCGTCCTCATCATGGAACAGCATTATATGTGAAACAGGACCATTTAATGACGTGTATCACAAAATTCAGCAACAATTTCCTTGAGTTTATCATAGCTTTGATAAATTTTAGAGACTTTGGAGAAGTGCAGATAGTTGTTTTCTACAAGTTCCCAGCATGTTCTTTTAAAGAGTTTGAACATGAAATTATGTTACACTTAAAACCTTTTGTAGACACAGAGAAAAAATTGATAATTTTTGGAGATTTCAATTTTGATTTGTTCACTGGACACAAAGATTTTCTGAACTTTATGAAGTTGAGTTTAAAATGCACACAAATTGTACAAAAAGTAACTCATGATTCAGGTTCACAACTTGATTTGATTTTCACAAACTTCCCTCATTGTGAAACTGATGTAATTGAAGCATTTTGGTCAGACCACAAAATTGTCTACTGTACTTTTTAGATATGATATAAGGGACGCAAGAGTATCTATTTGGGGGAGATACGTCATCTTGTCCCCTCTCCCACCTACCAATGTGTCAGTGTCACTTAGTGACACATGGCGTATTGGTTACTGTATACAGGGTTATTTTTGCCTCGTAAATTTTTCACCCTTGGAAAACAATTTTGTACTGTTTAATTCGCCCGGTCACAGTTTTGTTGAACAAATCAAACTGTGTTGTTTTAATTTGCTCCATTTTAAATTTGCCCACCCGTAAGTAGGGTGAAAGGGGCAAAAATAAAACGGGGCAATTATTTCCCTGTATACAGTATCCTACAGGCACCAGTTCTTTGATGTAAAATCTTGTTTGTTTTTAGACATATATGTATACTTTAATTATTTTTTATGTGCATGCATGAAATAACATAAAAAATGCATACAAATGATTAATGATCACAAAACAATTGGACTTGAACAGTTTTGTGAAACAGGGATCATGACTTTTATTTATCATGGACCAATTTGCAGGCAATTAACGTTATATGTATAAAATAATTGATATGCTGAATGTTAAAGAAAATCATATAATCCTTCATTCATGTCAAAAAGATGATGATTGTTGTATTATTTACTGTATAAATGTTTGTGAGTTAGTTATACCCTTCCTTAATGATATTTATAATGAATATCATGAACTTGGTATGTTGAATGTACATGATATTTTTTTTTTAATTACATGACTTTGTATTATGGAACGTATACAGAGTTTAACAGAAAAGAAATGAGTTCTGCTTAATAATGATTCCTTTTGTGCTGGAAGTGTACTCTTACATCAAGGTATTGGTGTCTTAGGTAATTATGCTCAACACTGTATTCTTTAAGTTTTATGAAGTGAATTCACTGAATTGTTGTGCACAGAAATTGAAGAAATTTTTATGTTTAAAAGTATTGTAAGTTGATTTATATTATGTACTGTGTCTTATGTAATTTAGACCCACAGAACATTGCCGGAGTACATGAATATATTAATTTATACCGTTTATGTGAATATTTTAAATTTTTCCCAGAGAAAATGCAAATGCAGTAACAATATCATTATCAATTTCCGTATCATAAGGTCAAATCTATGTTGATACTTAACATTGATCTTCAGTATTGTAAATATAAAAATTGTTGATCCTTAAACAGGATGGATGGTCAACAATTAACCAAAAGATGTACCTAATTAAAGTAAAAAGTGGCAAATGACAACATATTTATAGTCATTTTCTATAATTCTACACAGAGCTCCCATGTTTACTGGTCATGACCATCCAGCCTACACAAGACTTTTGTTAAAAGTGACTAATTTATTTTTCTAGCTGAATACATGAAAACTTGAAACCACTGCTTTCATGATTAAAGATTTTTTTTAAAGATAATAGATAATTTATATCATTCTTGTTGCATTGTATATATATGAATTATTGTATCCAAATATTCTGTTTTTGATTTGATTATTTATCTTTTGATGTGTAATATGTTGTTTAAATTCATATTATTTTTGTATTTTAAAACATTCAAAAATTGCATTTACTTTTACTTGCTATAGTTATCTGTATATAAAATAGGACAGCAACCTGCATAATCAGAGAAACTGACAACTCATTCTGAGTTTAAAATTGCAAAATTGAATTTTTTTCCTTTGATATTTTTCACTGACCAGCATTGATATTAGATAGGTGACCACCATAAGATTATAATAATCTAAAGAGATTATATATCATATACTTATATCCAGGTGAGTATGAAAAGAGGGGGTCAATGGACAGCCCGTAAAGGGAGGTAAACCTACCTCTTTAAAACATTACTATTTTTCCCCCAAAAGAGGAGGAATAAAGGTGGATCGCTACAATTTATCATGACCGGTCTTTGAAATCACAATTTATTGCAAAAACATCTTATTTCATTGTGGAATATTACCACCTTGAGTTTTGGTCATCTGATTCATGCAGGTATTCCAAAGTTATGTGCATATTAAAAATAATGGTTAATTGACATATCAGAGTCAAAGTCTGTTGACCATCATATATATAATTATATCCATTCACTATGTAATCTTTCCAGTTTCGCTTTCGTTATATATATAGGAAAGATTTACTATTAAGTGAACTTTAATGAATACATCTAGAGTGTACTCAGTATTTTGTATGTTTCAAATGATTATTTTGATATATTAAGATTTTCTATAAACAAATGTTCCAAATATATAAGCATCTACTAGTATACATATAATATTATTGTCAGTTTTACATTTCTGCCATAAAAAATTTGTAATAATCTTGCATATTTCATACTCTGTGCATACATGTCTGAGGAATTCATTTAAATCTGAATTCACGATCAATCATAATGTACATAGGGTACAGTAAAATTCCAAATGATGATGTAATAAATGTATACTACACGTAGGTTATTGTATTAGCGCTTCTTACTTTTTATTATAGCATCTACAAATTTTCGATAAATTTTCATAATGTGTGATGAATTTTGAAAAGAAATAAAAGTGAAATCTTATTCATAATTTTAAGTTTTTATTATACATAATTGTCTTACTTAATTTTCAGACAATGCAAGTGTTAAAGTGTTATATTTTGCAGAAATACCAAAAATGACCTTGTTATAAGTAAATTGATAACGAGATGGGCATTATAAACACTGGTTGAAAGAAGGATGTGGAGATAACGAACAGAATTCTGGGTCAAAAGTCCATAAAACAATACAAAATAGGAGCAGAGCAAACGCGGACCTCTGAAATGACAGAGGTGGGATCAGGTGCCATTGAGGATCTGCTGTGTGCTCCTTGTTATGATCGGTATATAATGGAAAAATCTATCGTCAATTCAGTGTATAGATAATGGACTTACAATTAGTATGAAAAATGTCAGTCAGCATTCAATGACTTACCAAGGTAATGATAAATTGTATTTGCTGACATGGTCATTGTATTGACCATAGAACTTATGAAATGACGACTTTAAACGACACTGCTGATATATTCTTGTTTCATCAACTTGCATGTCAATGATTTACTTGTGTTAGAAATTCATAAAAGAAAGATAATTGTTAGTATAATTTGATACTCAAATCAAGCCCAATTACCATAATTACAATAAATGAATAAGATAGAGGAAGTTTATATGTGCAATTCTTGAAAGTAAAGGTTGTTCACTCAGGTGAGCGATGTGGCCCCTGGGCCTCTTGTTTAATGGTTCCATTCAAAATACTCTCCTTTGACAGACACAGATAATTTCAACCATTTTAGCCAAGCTTTGAATGCATTCATATAATGTTTTGGGGTATGGTATTCATGAACTGATATTAAATGGCAGAAACCATAGCATTCCTTGGTGCACATTTTCTTCCTGACAAGTGCTTATTCAATATGGAGAAAGAAAAAGCCACAGGGAGACAAATCGGGTGAAAAGGGAGGGCTGGGTATAACACAAACGTTTTCTTTTTCCCAAAAAATGATCTCACCAACTTGGATTTATGTGCCGGGGCGTTGTCATGAAAATTCGAGTGTTGCGAATTCTAGACTTTGGTCTCTTCCTTCCGTATGTAGTGTTTCTTAACTTTCTTTAGCACAATTTTATATACCTGTTCGGTGATTGATCTGCCTTTTGGAATAGGAACCCGAAAAAAGGACCTTAACTATTAAAGAAATTTGCAAATAATACTTAATACTTTGGCATCCTTTTGCGATGTCAGGTCGGCTTTTGCTTTTTTTGTCAACCACATCTTGTTATCAAATTTTCTCTGATGTTCAAGATAAGAAATCCATGTTTAATCACTTGTGTAATTATTTCAGAAAATGCTGTGCATCGCAGTTTTTCGCTTTTGTTTTTCTGTTAAAAAGACGGGGTATGCATCGTGCACTAATCTTTCGGAGGACAAGGTGTTTCTTTAAAATTTTAACACTGTCCCCTGATGAAATTTATACTAAATTTTCCATCTGTTTAATGGTAAATCGACCTTCATTAGTGATGATATTGGTTATTTTTGTAAATACGGTATCCTTTATGTCTGTTTGGCTGTTTTTTTTATTTGCTCACGCACCTTTAAACTTGTCTCAATGATATACAGTTGTTACCATACACATCATAAAATTCTTTGAAAACAATTGTAAATCAGAAAAAATGCAGTAGTTAAAATGTTTAATAAAGGTTAAGATACAATATACAAGCGAATTGATTTAACGAACACACACTCTTTGATTATTTGAAAAGATTTTTCTGTCTATACCTTCAAATCTTTACCGGTACAGTCTTCTTCCAAATCAATAAAAATGGCAAACTATTCAAATGGCAGGATTCCCTAACATAATGGTCATAAAATAATGGACACACTTTTTGTTCGCCAATTTTCTGCTCTCTTTTAAAAACATATACCTGTTAAGAAAGGACTGTTAAATCTGTTTTGTTTTAGTTGCCTGGGGTGTTTTCTTTAAATTACTAGTATCTCCATTTATTTTAATTTCTGATTTCTTTTTAGAGTTTTCCACTTTATAGAAGGAAAATGTGGACTATCAAACGGACATCCCTTAGCATTTGCAATCCTTTCTAATAATTTTGCTTCGATTTTTTTGTCTGTGTGTGACGGTGGTAAACAGTTAACAAAATCACAATCACATTCTTCCTTGGGTCTTGTTAACTGGAGAATAGTTGATATATCACAATGGTGAACAAGTGAAGTAAACACCGTCCATGTATCATATGAAGCTTTAAAAAGTGATATATTTAGAAGTTCATGTCTGAGTTCTACGGTACATTTTTTTTCAATCAGATACTCGGGATACATTTCCACACAACGTTTTATACTATCCTCAGTTAACTCTGCTGAAAGCATTCCTGACCATGGCATCAAGCCTTCGTTTTTCTTGTAAACTCTTACAAACATTATATAAGTAAGAACATTGAAAAGTCCATGATTTACCTCGTGCATTCTTTTAAAATGATTAACTAACGCTGTCACCGATGCTTTGGTGAATTCCTCATTGGAGAAGAAGTCATGATGCTGACAATACATCGATATTAAGATTGGGTTACCAACAAGTCCATGATTGTGAGAGAGTTTTGAGAATACAGAAGAAAACTTTATGTCGTTAAACCAACAACTTATATCACGTACGCAGTGACCTTCTTTTTTCAACTCTTTCCAAATTAATAACATTTCTGCTTTATCGAGATGATCGACATCAATCAAATTTTTGGTGTCAAAAATCTGTACTCTACCTAATTTTAAAACTTCATCGTATACATGTTGATGTATTCCTAATAAAACTTTTAAATGACCTTTACATCTTTCTCTCTGTTTTTTAATAACGTGTTCAAATCCTGTAATAGTTTCGAGCGAAAATACATTGCAGTTAAATGTCCCAAACAAATTGTCACAACAAAGGAAAACGTTGATGATTTCATTTTCCATCAGTTTATTTTCATTAAGATATTCCTCAAACCAAACATTCCTCCATCCTCTGTCCTTGTATTTATCTTGTATGTACCTCATGGCAGTTGTTTTACCAGATCCAATGGCACCCACACAAATAACAATGTCTGAAGATTCTAATAGTACCAGAGCTGACTTAATGTTCTTTGTCACAACAACTGTATCTTCAACGTCACAGTTTCTCTTCAAACGAACGACTAAAATGACAAATGATTTAAACAATCCCACAATACATAAATACTCCTCCTTTTTACTAGGTCATTTTCAAGAAACCAATTTAAATACATGTATGAAACACAGGTGCTTGAGGACAGGACCCCCCCCCCCCCCGCAATATAGACCCCCGGGCCTGTTAGACTTTTTTTTCACATAAATTATATATGAATGACACATTTGTGATATAATATATCCTATCCATTTAGAAAATTTGCTTAAATAAACATTTTATAAAAATTTCTACCCCACTCTCTATATATAAATTAACAAGGTTGCCAACTTCGTCTGCAAACCGAGAGGCACTGCCGAGAATTTTGGTTGAATCGTCTCATAAATCTAAACAAAGCCCTAAAATCAACAACTCATATTGTAAATTGAATATTTTTTTCATTAACCACCAACTCTCATGAAGGTTAAGGCACTTTAACAGTCGTTATGGTCAGTTTTTCAAAAGGATGTCAGGCTACAGCCAGCGTTTCTGCTTAATGAACGGAAGTGACGAGGAGACGACTTTTTACCGAAATACACAGTTCTGCAGAAAGTCTGAAACACTGTTTTGAAATAAACATTTGAAGAAATTTGGTTGATTTACATTTTAAAAAATGTCTTTCAAATGTATTGGAAGAATAGAGTTCTAAACTGCTGATGTAAATGAAATATTTCTAATTATTTTTAAATACCTGATTGGCATGTATCGGTTTTGAGAGTTATGCCTTTTTAAAATATATTTTATTAAAATACCTTCTTTTCCGTAAATATTTCATGTAAAATCTACAAAACATTTGAAAATAATATCTTTATGAAGAATTCGTTCAAAACACAAGAATATATCTATTGTTGATATCTTACACACATGTTTGGTTATATGGGGAATATGGGAAATTAGTCCTCTCCTCATCACTTCCGTTCGATAAGCTTTTATGGAGTTGGCAACCTTGTTGATTTTTATATACAATGTAGGGTAGATTTTATAGAACATTTGGTTTTAGGTAATTCTTCGATTTGTTGGTATAGATCTTATCACAAATATGTCAATGAAAGATTATTTATGAGAAAAAAATCGAAAAAGCCCAGGGGTCTATTTCGAAGGGGGGGGATCCTGTCCTCAAGCACCTGTGGTATGAAAATGTAATTCTATCAATTCTATGTATATAAGAAAAAAAAATGAAGAAATGTTTCTTACTTTTAATTTTCGATTCCAGTGCATTATAATCAGCATTGTTGGAACTAGTAAAATCTCTTTTAGAGAGTGCTCCAAATCTATCACTCATCCGTCCATACACACCCTGAAGGTAAGGAACATCAACTTGATCATCGCAATACATATTCCACAAGATACGGATCCTTTCTATGTCAGCCTCAAGAGAGTCATCATCATCTGTAGGTTTATAACCCCATCCTTTCCCTGGAGGTTTTATATTGTTACAGAAATTTATCACCAAGGTAAAGACAACTACCATGTCTAAATTATCATAGTCCTCAGTATTTTTCACATTTTCTAAATCCCTCAACAGACACTCATTGAAATGTTCAATCAATGATAGAGAATAAATAATACTTTTTTCCTTCAAGTCCCAAACTTTAAGCTCAGTCTTCAAAATATGAATGAGGTAGCACTGAAGTTTATGAATCTTTGAAATAATTCTCGTACGTTCTTCCCCAAAAATCGACGATAGTGTTTTCACATGCTCCTCTACAATTATGAATCAAAATATTGTATCAAAGGCATAATTGCGTACCAGCAAATTCAACTTATCCATAAATTTGGACTTTATAAAATGAAAATACTTTTTAAAAGATTTCACCTACATACAACTGTATGTGTACAATATACTGGTAGTTTACACTGACACATAAGCTATGACATTAAGATATTTATTTTTGCTCTGTTTCTATATACATGTGTATAGAATTTGCAAGATTTTTCAAATTAATAACCTATGTATCGTGTAATTTTGCGGTCGCTAATTTTAGTTTAATTTCTCTTTTCTTTTGGCTGCTGACCATAACAGACAGGAGTTCAATGATGTTTTTGAATTTTTTATTGTTTCATCAAAGCTACCAAGAGCAAAATAATCAATTGTACCAAAAGTTTTTTGAAAGAACACTTTATTTGGATTTTAAGACTTTCTATTGTGCGTTTAGAATTCGCGTGCAAATTATTTCCTAGACCTCTCGCAGCCCGCGTGGCGCAGTGGTTAGAGCGTCTGCTCCAGAGTCGCGAAGTAAGGAGTCAATCCTTAAGTCATGGGCTCGAATCCCACGTGGAGGCCGGTCCTTCGGATGGGATCTCGACCCTATAAACCGAGGCCCCGTGTCGTAGTAGGTGCTGGCACGATAAAGATCCTTCACTGCTCAAAGGCCCTGACTGCCGATCATAGGAAAAAATTTGTAGCCCTCCACCGGCAAGTGGTGGCGTCTCCATATAGGAACGAAAAATTCTCGAGAGGGACGTTTAACAACATACAATTAATCAATCCTAGACCTCTAATTTTAAATGATCAAAATAAGTTAAATGAGTACAGTTCAGATTCCCATATTCATAATTTGGTGAAAATTCCTTCAAAATATATATGTAGGTTACATTCTGCCTTGAAAGAATTTAAGGTTGTGAGTTTTCCAATGATGTTATGGATCCATGTATTTATTTACAAGAAAAGAGTTGCTGGTGATGAAAAAGTTGTTATAATATAGATTCATTCCCAAATAGATGCAAGGTTTGAAAAGTTGATTATTATCAAGATAAAGGACAGATGTTTTTCTTAGTTCATGCGTTGATTTGTGCTGTTAGCGTAAATCTTTCATTGACCAAAATTATAAAGATGTATTTTATCTAGGAATACATATAAATATATGATCCTTAAGTATGTAATATTTTAATTTTACTGAAACATTGTTTGAAAAGCCAAAAAGTTGAATACTCTGAATAGGGAATGAACAGATTACGTTTTTGGGATACATATTATGATCTTGAAATATGAAGGGGGAATAAAACATGATAAAATATGAAGAAATTGAACATAAGTCAAGCTCAAAAGACCATTTGATTAATACTGTGGAAAAGAGCATACATGATACATGAACCCTAAAATTCTCTGAAGTGGAAACAGAAGGCGTAATAGATGAACGGACGGACGTACAGATGGACATCCCGATCGCTTATTCATTACATACCCTCCCACAATCTAGGCTGGGGGGGGTATAATAAAGTTTAATGGTCTTATTCTTTAAACACAATTTTTAAATAAGAATTAATGGGAATTAAACTTTTTTTTTTAAATCTGCTGATGTTTAAAGTTTAACTTAATTACAATGGACCCCCCTTTCCTCCATCTACAAAGAGTTGTAATTAAGAGCAATTAATAACTTGACACTGGAATAAATATTACAATTCATTCACTAGTTATTAACTCTTGTTTGTAATTAAAAAGAGTAATGGCGAAAGTTGAATAGACGGTGGTCGTGTAAAATGTAGGTTGGAATCGAGAGTTAGTGTGCATAGTTCTTTGTCATACTCTCCCCATGGCCTTCATCTAAAACTTAATGATAAACTAATGATATTGTATTTTCGAGAACATAACAGGGTGTTGTAAATTCTTATATGCAGATCGTGGAACAAGGCAGGTAATTTTATTCATTGATAACACTCTACTGAAAGTAAGTAATTGTAAAATAGTATTTCAGGGTCGAATTAAGGGAGAAAAACACATATTTTGGCAATTATGGGTTTCAGTTGTTGCCATGGCAACCGCGACGTCAAATTACTCTGCATAAATAAATACTTTAGGATCTTACCTTTCAGTTAGGTAAAAGTGATTAAAAAATGTCTAAAATTCTATTTGAAGTTTTATAAGCAGTTATGCATAAAAACTGCAAAATCTCTGGCCGTTAAAGGGTTAAATGCAAAAAATAAGGAAATGCTTTAAAACGAGTTTTGGAGATTAAACCAGAAGTATCTGATGAGACTGTAGCTCTACTGGTCTGTACGTATAACAAAGGAAAAGTAGCACTTGGAATTGTAACTTTGCAACAAGCAGCAATGAAAAGAATTATGTATCTAAATGTAGTCTACTTGTGTGCCAAATTATAACAAGTCTGTGTGATTCACACACCAATAACTCACACAAAACTTAAAAACATTCCTTAATTGAAATCAGATCAAAATTGTAGGAGGAGTAGCGTTTTAAAGGAATTTCACAGAAATTTCAATTTTTAGTTACCATGGCAACACCGTTCATTGAAATAAATTACCAATGCACTAAATTATGTATTTTAGTGTAGTATACTTGTGTGCCAAATTATATTGAAATCAGACCAAAATTGTATAAGGAGTAGCGTTTTAAAGGAATTTTACCGAATTTAGACCAAAACTGTAGGAGGGGTAGCGTTTTAAAGGAATTTCACAAAAATCAAAACAAGAGGCCCATGGGCCACATCGCTCACCTGAGCACTGTGGCTAGGAAAAAGCAGAAATTGGTTTATCATTGAAAAGTATAAATCCAAAAGTAGTCCCGTGACCAATCATGGCTTTGCTATTCTTGAGAAGATGATTCTTAAAAATTTTAATATATATGTCAATGTAAAACTTAAGTCGGCCATTGTGGCCCCGCCCTACCCTTGGGGGTCATGATTTGAACAAACTTGAATCTACACTACCTGAAGATGCTTTCATATAAGATTCATCTTTCCTGGCACAGTAGTTCTTGAGAAGATTTTTAAAGAATTTCCCTATATATTTCTATGTAAAACTTTAGTCGGCCATTGTGGCCCTGCCCTACCCCCGGAGGTCATGATTTGAACAAACTTGAATCTACACTACATGAGGATGCTTCCATATAAGTTTCAGCTTTCCTGGCACAGCGGTTCTTGAGAAGAAGATTTTTAATGAATTTTCCTATATATTTCTATGTAAAACTTTGGTCGGCCATTGTGGCCCCGCCCTATCCCCGGAGGTCATGATTTGAACAAACTTAAATCTACACTACCTGAGGATGCTTCCATATAAGTTTCATCATTCCTGGCACAGTGGTTCTTGAGAAGAAGATTTTTAATGAATTTTCCTATATCTTTCTATGTAAAACTTTGGTCGGCCATTGTGGCCCCGCCCTACCCCCGGGGATCATGATTTTAACAAACTTGAATCCATACTACCTGAGGATGCTTCCATATAAATTTCATCTTTCCTGGCACAGTGGTCGAAAATGTGAAAAGTTGACAGACAGACAGACAGACGGACTACAGACAAAATGTGATCAGAAAAGCTCACTTGAGCCTTTGGCTCAGGTGAGCTAAAAACCGATGCACTAAATCATGCATCTTTATGTAGTCTACTTGTATGATAAGTTATATTGAAATTAAACCAAAACTGTAGGAGGAGTAGTGTTTTAAAGGAATTTCACTGAAATTTCTATTTTTAGTTACCATGGCAACACCGTTCATCAAAATCAAAAGCCGATCTACAGCCGATCTAGAGCTAAAAATTAGACAAATGCAATACTATTCTATAGGCTACATAAGTTACATTTATACATAAGAAGACATTTATATTTATTTGTTAGTATAATTTTACCTGTATCAGGAATCATCTTAATGTTCTCTTCTTCGATATCTAAAGTAAGCATTCAAAAATTTCAAATCATTTTTATTAAATTAATTAAAATTAATTATTGCAATATTGATAATTGTCATTCTCAAATAAATAGACTTGGGTTTTCCATGTACATATCTATTTCGTGCAATAATGCTGCAGCTGCATAGTGAATTGAGGTGTTATTATTAACAATGTTACGGGTGACATACCTGATAATTTGTTTCGGCGGTACATAACAAATATAATAACAGCTGTGCCTACAATCAGCATTGGCAACAACAAACCAACTGCAATTCCAGTAGAGGAACTTTCTTCAATGGCAGTCCTTATCATAATAAGTATAGTTAGTTTCTGTTCATAGAAATCGATGAATCTAAATTTTGCAGTTTTGGACATACATGGTGAATTGAAAAATACAACCAGATCATCTGTAATAAATATATATCTTACTGTTTTATTGCGATCGGTGTGGTTCCTTCTCCCTCTCGTTTCATGGTGGTCCAACTATTTCAATGTAAAACATAATTGTTAAAAAGAGTCACTCACATGTGTTTAAATAGGCTCCTTGGTCCTGCCCTTTTGTAAAACATTTTTAGAATTTTTTTTCCTTATATTCTTGTTTCCCATTTGAAAATTTGAGCAATATTGTGTCGCATCCCCTACCCCTTCCTCGGTCGAGGGTGACATTATCTGATTAAAGTTGAATTTACACTAAAAACGTAACGGAATACATATTTTTATCAAGATTTTTAAAAAATGTATTATGTTTTAGAAAATATATCCTTTATTTAATTTTAGCCTTTATAACGAATAGAATCACATAAATTAGAGTCCGATTAAAAAAGGGGGGAGGGTGTAACAACTCCTTAGGATATCTGTAATCGTGCAAGCGTGGGTCTTACGCACACGTTTTCTCTTATCATCGGTAACGGGCTATTTTCTTTACAGTATAATGAAAATATATTCATGTAGAACATAAATTAATATAAACCAGAAGTCTCTGTCGAGACTGTGGCTCTACTTGTTTGTACTTATAACAAAGGATGAGAAAAGAAGCCATTGTCATCAGACCAAAACTGTTGAAGGAATAGCGTTTTAA